AGCATTAGCATTTGAAAGGAAGCAAAATCAACCTTATCTATAGATTGGATGATTATATATTTAGAAGATGCAAAGGAATCAAGTCTAAGAGATACTGTTATTTATTAGCATTAGAATTAATAAAAGAATTCAGAAAGGTAACTAGTTAAAAACTAAATATATAAAAGCCATTAGCTAGAAACCAGCAGCAAAAGGGTTATTTGTGGGGAAAAAAAATCCTGTTCACAATACAAACAAAAATGCAAAAGCTTAATATAGATTTTACTATTTATAACTATTATAAAGGATTGTATAAGCCAGGGAGAAAGTGGATTATCCAATCATTGGCAGAGAAAAAAACAGATTAGCTCCATAACTCCACCCAATACATAAAGATATTCTAAAGAGACAAAACATACAGAATTTAAAAAATAATAATAAAACCATAAATACACACACACACAAGAAAATACTGGATATTTAACTGATTGTAGGGTTAGAAAGAATGCTCTCAACAGATATAGATATGTATATACATTATGCATGTGTATATGTGTGGTATGTGCGAATGAAACTACTAAAATAAATTCCTTTAGCAAATAAAAATTTAAAGCATTTTTAAATCGAAAATATCATTAACAAAATTATAAAGTCAATAGCAAGCACAGAAAATATTTATAATCAATGTGAAGTAAGAGATTAACATTTTAGTGTCAAAAAAGTTCAAAGAACATGATTAAAAAGAAATGCAAATGCTCAATAAATACATGAAAGGTTTAGTAAACCTCTCCAGCAATATCTTATAACACAAGATAATTTTGACCCACTAAATTGGCAAAGATTAATCTATAAATTATACCATTCATTAGAGGCACGGATGGTTTCCAATCAGCACTCTCACACTCCAATGCTGGGAGTGTACATTGGTGTGATCTTTCTTGAAAGCAATCCTTTAGAATGTTCCAAGAGGCTTCAATGAGTTTGACACATTGACCTAGTTCTTTCGTTTCTAGGAATCTATTGCAAGGTAGAACTGTGAGGATTTTCAAGGAAAGATTTTCCTTATAGCATTATTTAAAAAGAAAGTTTGTACCTTAATGTACAGTAGTAGGAAAATGTACTATTAGGCAGCCTTAAAATAATTTTTACAAATAATTTTTCATAACATGGGAAAATGAAACAACACGCTAAGTAGCTAAAACAAGAAGGCAAATTCAGTATTACATTAAAACATGTTAAAATATATGTGTGTATATATACAAGTATAGTAATATATGAGAGAGAGAAAGAGATGAATGTAGAAATACCATTGTATGAGATATATTTTTTTAAATGTTTGGTATTTTTTAATAAAATGTTACTTGGAGTGGGATTTCAAATGCTTTCGTTTCCTTCCCTAGAGTTTTCTTTATTCCTACAGTTTCCAAAGTATATTACTTCAATAACCATAATGACCTTAGAGCTAAAGATAATGATTCTAAAGTCAGTCTGAGGATAATAGGATCTCTGTGCTCTAGGAGGTACGAAGGGCCATCTTGGGTTATTTAAGTTGTGAACTGCCACATCTAAGCAGATGCTATTCACACTGTAGGCATATAATAAAAGGACTAGAGATGTTTAGTCCTTTACTTATGCAGTAGATCAGAGACTCTAGTATATAAAGCCACCTGACGGTCATAGTTGTGAATATCATTGAATCATCTCTCATACATAGAATGAACAACACACCCGTGGGATAGTTATACCCTCTCCCTTCAATCCTTTGGGCATTTTGTCTCTTTCCCTTGGTTATCTCTCTGAGATGTCTGATGCCTACTTCAAACTTGACACAGTTCTTTCATCTAAAGGACCTGTTCTATTCTTTTAAGTCTTCCTTTCAGGTCCTCAAGGATACTTGAATTTAACTAGGCTTCCTTTGTCCATCATCCTACCAGGAGAGACAAAGGAACCTTCATTTTCTCTCAGATGGAGTGGCATTTAAGAACAAATAGTAAGAAAAAAAAGCAATGCTGACAATCTTAGTTATTAAGAAAATACCTATATTACTATTTCAGTATTACACAAAATAAATACCAAGCTATAGATACATTCTCAGCTGGTATCGTACCAATGAGATAAAGGTAGGTTTTGTACAGCCAAAGCTGATACAAGAGACTTCCTGGCTGAAGGAAGGGCATGAGAACTTTCAGACAGGAATGGAAAGAAAAATCAGTGAAGGAAAGGATGCATGTGGAGGGACCTTTACTTAGCCCGGGGAATAGCTAATGGAAGAAACCTGCTTCATCAAGTTATCAGGTAAGGGCAAAACTCAGTGAAGGAAATAGAAATAGAAAGGTATTTAACACAAAAAATTAGGGGCTGAAAAAAATCACTGGAAGCTGCAGGAGCAAAAGTCAGGTGTCTTTGGAGCTACTGCATTCAAGAGCACCACCATAGCCTTGATCCAGAAAAAAAGGAGAGTCTGTGCTGTCTCTTGCTGCTGCCCCCACGGATGCCGCCAGTTCTCTCTCAACAACCGTGAGGCTAACTAAGACTGTGGAACACCAAGTGAGTGTGCTAAGCAGAAATGACATCAGGAAGAGGGACTCTGCCTCATTTCCAGCTAATTAGTGTTGGTTTTGTTTCTGTGTCTATCATTGTTTCTGTGGAAAAAGTCACTTTAAATTCTAAAAACCAGTCTGCAAAACAAGTTTTCAAAAATATTCTCTTGTAATTTGGAGTCTGTGTGCTCTTAAAATAACAAACAAACACATACCATCCCCTAAAGAAAAACTAAATCAAACAACTCCTCAGGATATATTTTATAGTCACTGAATTCATTTACTTCTTCCTCAAACATTTTTATATCTACAGTTACCATCATTGCAAGGGAGTGCATAAAAATTTTAAGTTTCATTTGTAGGACTTGAGAAAAAAAGAAAACAAGCCTTAGTGATAATATTATCAATGAATGATTTAGCACAAAAGCTTGCTTCTTATACAAAGGGTTGCACTGCCCCAATTTTTTGTTCATTTTTGGTTTCTTTCCAATTTTAGTATATGCGCTGTGGAAGCAAGCACTCATTTTTGGTTTCTTGCTAAGTTCTTCTTTGGTGCTCATTTGTGGTAAATGCATATCTCAGGTGTAATTCTCAATTATTGTGTATGTGGGCTTACAGTACAAAAATACATCATTAATAAAAAATAACATTTTCTGGGGCACCCGGGTGGCTCAGTTGTTAGGTGTCTGCCTTCGGCTTGGGCCGTGGTCCCAGCGTCCTGGGATCAAGACCCTCATCAGGCTCCCTGTTCAGCGGGAAGCTGGCTTTTCCCTCTCTCCACTCCCTCTCCTTGTGTTCCCTCTCTCTCTGTCAAATGAGTAGATAAAAATCTTAAAAAATATATATATTAAAAAAAATTCAACCATTTTAAAGGAATACAGGAATAAAAATTTCCATGACAGGGAATGATAGAAGTAGGTATGCAAAGTGCTGGGATGTATGTTTTCTAGTATATATATTTCATTTTTTTTGTGTGTCATCCTTTTTCTTTGTACCATAAGCAATTTTGATAAGACCAGAGATATTGATGATGTAAAATCCACAGACGTGTACATGAAATAATATTTTACAAGCTCCCTTACAACATTTGAAAATTTACTTTGAGAACCTTAGTTCGAATGTATCTCCCTCACCACCACCACCACCCAGGGAGTTCCTGTTGCTGTTTTCTTCACTTTTCCAGTTGAACTAAAGCAAGAGGAAACCAAGCCCTTTAGCTACTGAGTCATGGTATAGTTGGTATAGTTGGGGAGCAGGGTAGCATTAGGAAGGGAATCGGGAAGATCTCCTGGCAACCAATTATTTGCTTCAGTCACCATGCCATTTCTTATATTGTCATAAGGATGAAAAATTACACTTCTACGCGGTGAGCGATACTAATGCTAAGGCATATTTTGTGTGTCCCATGCAATGGTATTTCTGTTTTCTGAATGAAATGTTGAAATCCTAGAAGTTATACTTTACCTATTAATACATTTAGTGATGATATTGGAGTCTGTGAGATGTTACAAAAAGGACAGATGGAGAATAATTAAAGGAGACAGGTATCAATTCCCTGTCCCAACACTACAGGCTTTAGCAAAGGCAGATAATCATTTGAATTCCTGCTCTTTAATGTGATTCTGAAGATTGGCTGATCTCAGGTATTTTCGAGAGTCTAATTACTGTTTCTGCTGGTGAAGATCCATCCTACGTATAACTCAGTTTCTTTTATTAAATTTCTTGCCTACTCTTGAAGACAACTGATATGTTGTAATGCTTATTATGATACTTCATGTAGTGAGAACAAATTCAGAGGGTTTCAAAAATTACCCAACTTCTCCTCCCTTACTAATACTTCTTTCCGTTTGGTACTAACAGAAAGCAATTTTCTTGCTTTTCCACTTTTAAAATGAAGTTTAGATCTCTTTTGTGTTCATGTGACGAACCTACTCTTGAAGAGTCCCTGTCAAGATATCTATTGTAATACTCGCTCCTACACATGCCTTCAGACATTGATTGCATATCTAGAGAAATACACCCACACCTTTTCAGAGGCGCTAGGTGTGTGTTCAGAAATGCCAAGATGGAGGGCAGGAAGGGAGCAACTATCCCCTAAAACACAGCACAGGGGTATCGACTTGAAGTTGGGGAAAAAAAAATGTTTACATGTAAGGCTTTTAGACAAGTGACCGTTATGGAGGTACTTCCACAGAGCCCCGGGTGCCGGCCTGAGCCTCCTCTGCCCCACAGCAGGACAAGGGCTGTGCTGACCCCGCCAGACACGCGATCCCAAGGCACCCGCCACCACGCACGCATGGCCCCGCAGCCCGGCCCAGAGCGCGCAGTCTAACCGCTCCTCCGGGCAGCTTCCCCGAACGCCGCAGCGACCAGCGCCCCACGCCGAGCAGAGAGCACAGGCGCCGCCCGCCCGCCTACTTCCCTCCGCCGCCGGGTGGGGCTCGGGAAACCGGCCGGGCCGCGCCGCCCCTCCCCGCTCACCTGCTCGCGCTCCTCCAGCGGACGCTGCCCGCGTCGGCGCGGGCTCGCTCCGGGCTCCGGCTCTGTCCCCGCCACCGGCCGCTCCGCCAGCGCGTCCCCGTCCTCGTCGCGCTCCCCACCGCTGCCGCCGCCGCCGCCGCCACCAAGCAGCTCCCCGGCCGAGCACATCCCGTCGCCAACTCCCGCCGCCGGGACGGCCGCCGGAGGAGGCCGAGCGTGAAACGCGAGACAGCGGTCGCCACCCGAGGGCCGTCCGGAGATCGGCCGCGCTGCCACAGACTGGAGTCTCCGGAGCGCGCCCCGCTGGCCAGGGTGCCAGAAGTACCAGCCCTGCCGGGCCTCTCCTGTCACTGGCTCGCCCCGCCCCGGCCCCCGGGGAGGAGCACACCCGGGGGAGGGGCCAGGGCGGGGGCGGAGCCAACGGGGGCGTGTGTGAGAGAACTGAGAGCGACTGTGTGTGTTCGCGCGTGTTTGTGAGATTGTGTGAGAATGTACATGAAGAGACTATATGTACGTGTGTGTGAGAGATTGTGTGTGAAGAAAGCGTCTGTGTACGAGATAGTGTGTATGTGTGTGTGTGTGTGTGTGAGACTGTTGGAGTGTGTGAGAGTGACTAGGTACATAACAGACTGAGAGATTTTGAGATTGTATGTGTGAGAGTGTGTGTGTAAAAGTATTAGAAAAGCAGTGTGTGAGAGAAATAAGGTGTGTATGTAAGAAAGTGTGTTTGTGAGGGAGGGAGGGGAGAATGTGTGTTGGGGTTGTGTGTAATTAACAGTTACATCCCTGCAGGGTACCTCTGTTCTTCCCTGGAACAGGGGCTGTGCCTGGGTGTGCTGCTGGATGCCTGTCCTGAGTAGCCGTCCATCCTTTGCAAGTAATACACATTTCTCTCTTTTGTTCCTTTTGTCTTCTATCTAGTATCTCTCTGAAGGTCTGTGTCTCTGTCTCTGTTAGGTGTTTCTTCTATGTGTGTGGGTTGTTGGAGCCTTGGGAGTATTTGGTAGTGTATCTGTCTTTGTGTATATTTCTGTGAATGGGCAGGGATATGTCTTTCTCTCTCAGTGGATGGTAAGGGGGATACAACTAATTCGTTAGTCTTTTCCTTACTACCTGTGATATTGTGATTTATAAGAAATATACAGTTGACCCTTGAAGGTTGTAGGGGTTAGGGACACTGACCTGCACAATCAAAAAACCATGTATAACTTTTGACTCCTCAAAGAATTACTGTTAGCCTAGTGTTGACTGGAAAGAAGTCTTACCGATACATATATATAGTTGATTAGTATATTTTGTGTGTTATAGGTATCATATACTGTATTCTTAAACTACACTAGAGAAAAGAATATGCTACTAAAAAAGAAATCACAGGAAAGAGAAAATACTTAATAGTACTATGAAAAATCCAAGCATTAGTGGACCTGCACAGTTCAAACCTGTGTTGTTCAAGGGTCAACCATATATTTGGTCTTCATCCTGTTGGAATAGAGCTCCTAAAACCTTGGAATTTCCTAATGGAGGAGAATGATAAACGTCTTTTCTTATGCTAATGAGGAAACTTTTGGAAAGCCTCTAGTTAACTAAGGATGGGGGCTAACTGCTGGGAGAATAATCCTGGTGACTACCAGGGTTAGGATTTTTAGTCCCACCCCCTGAACTCCGGGAGGATAGAGAGGTTTTGGAAGTTGAATCAATCAAGGATGGTCAATGATTTAATCAATCATGTCTATGTAATGAAGCCCCACTGGAAGCTCAAAAGGACAGAGGTTCTTAGAATTTCTGGTGAACTCATGAACATGTAAGCTGAGTGGTTCACACAGAACATGGAAACTCAGTGCCCCTTCCATCACATCTTGTCCTATGTACCTCTACATCTGGCTGTTCATCTGTGTCCTTTATATTATCCTTTATAATATATAGACTAGTAAAAGTTTCTGTGAGCTGTTCCAGCAAGTTCACTGAACCCAGGATAGGGTCATGGAAACCTCCAATTTAGAGCCAGTTGGTCAGAAGCACAGGTAACAACCTGGACCTGCTATTGGCATCAAAAGGAGGTTAGTCTGTGGTACTGAGCTCTTAAGGTGTGAGATCTGTGATCTTAGCTCCAGGTAGATAGCATCAGAACTGAGTTAACTGCTTGATGGTGTTAGAAAACACACATTAAACCACCCTACCCATTTTGTTGAAGGGAAGTTGGAGGGTATTTAAAAAAAAAAAAACAAAACAAAACTTTGTATATCTTTTACCTGTTCTTTGAGAAAATTATAGACTATTGTATAGATAAAATATCAGGCTATTTGTCAAAGGAAAATTAATATGCCTATGTATGGAGAAGAATGAGTTATTTGGAATCTCCTATTAAAATGTCTTCAGGCCCAGAGAGGGAATTAAAATAGAAACTTAGAGAATTATTTTATTTATTTATTTTTTAAAGAGATTTTTATTTTTTTAATTGACAAAGAAAGAGCACTCAAGCAGGGGGAGTGGCAGAGGGAGAGGGAGAAGCAGGCTCCCTGCTCTGGGCTCCATCCCAGGACCCTGGGATCATGATCTGAGCCAAAGGCAGAGGCTTAACTGACTGAGCCACCCAGACATCATTTAAAGACTTATTTTAAGATGTTTCCTGTTTTTTGCAATCAGGACTATAGAAACTAGAAAATATGCCTTTGGATATCACAAATTAGAAAGAAAATTAATCTGGTTTATTTCCTTTCTTAAAAACCTTTTAAGACCCAGAGGAAAGTATTTAATATTATATATATAATGAGAAACAAATGTCTCCATGGGAAGCCAAAAATAGTACCTGATGGGCCTCTTTGCTTTGCTCTAATGACAACATTTTTATTCTTGAAATTTTGCTTTGGCTCTCAGTAGTATTTCTTATAAATAATGGCCTATAAATTTTTTACAAAAAGCTTTACGATTATATATAGTGGCACAGAGAACATCAGCCTTTTATTGCCAACTCTGTGGAGCTTAACACATATTTTAAAGTTCCCCCTCTTTTGGCCTGTGTCTGACAACTTGATAAGTCAAGCAGCTATGCACTCTTCAGTCAGGTTACAGAGTGAACAGAAATTCCTTTTATATATGAGGATTCAGAAGGCATAGAATAGATATAGTAGGGCAAGTAAAAAGAGTAATATAGAGCTTAGTTTTGTTCATCTTGGGGGTCAAGTCTTACAGAAGTCCTGTGGTTCTAGAATATACTCTCTGGACTTTCAGAGATTCATGCTTTTTCTTCAAGAATTGTATTCAGTCATTTAACACGTATTTATTGAACACCACTAGGCATTAGGCCCAGGTCTAGGTCCCTACTCTTTTTTTTTTTTTTTAAAGATTTTATTTATTTATTTGACAGACAGAGATCACAAGTAGACAGAGAGGCAGGCAGAGAGAGAGAGAGAGAGAGAGGGAAGCAGGCTCCCTGCTGAGCAGAGAGCCCGATGCGGGACTCGATCCCAGGACCCTGAGATCATGACCTGAGCCGAAGGCAGCGGCTTAACCCACTGAGCCACCCAGGCGCCCCTAGGTCCCTACTCTTAAGAAGGTTCCATTTTATTCTCTTTCAAATTCTGGTCTGTTTGTCTGGCAAAACCCAAGAACTTCCACAAAAGAGTGGCCAAAATCTTCTGATCCTCGTCCAGGACTGATGTCACAACTTCTTCTTTTGTCTTAGTGTTGTCTACCTTTCATTTAGTGAATGAGTTTTCTCTTTGAACTGTGATTCTTTTGTTCATAAAGACTTTGGTCTTTCCTGGAGATTTAGGGAATCACTTCTTTAAAAAAAATTCTAATAGTAGCATTTTGTGAAAAAATAAAAAACAAAAAAAACAAAACAAAAACAAAAAATATTATTCAGGTTACATCCCAGACAGCACACTTTCAACCACATCTTATGGGAGGGGAAGGCCGTTTTCACTGGACTGTACAATATGGATATTATACGTAAAAAGCTATTATTGCAGTTATCTGTGGCAAATATATTTGCTATTACCTAGGCAACTATGACATGTTGGTCTCAAATTGTGTGTAGTTTAGTTGTGATTTTATTAGTGTATTTACCTTGAGTTTTCACAGGAATTAGTAAGTGGCAAGAAACAGATGCCTGTCTAAAGAGTGGCCTATGTAGTGCTAATGTGTCTTGTGCAGTTGCTTTGGGAATAAGAATTTTTAATCTCTCACTTTCACACCTTTAATAACTTATTTTTAATGTTCTTCCACTCTTACTTAGACATTTTTCCAGAGGAAAATGAACAAATCAGAGCGATCTGTCCTCATTTAGTACTATAATCTTAGAAATAACAAGTGCAGTTATTTGTGGAAACTTCATTTTCAATTTGATTTTTTTTCATATTACTATGATGTTAATTTGTTATGTTTCCTGTGTTTTAATTTTTGCTTCATATATGATTTTTTATCTGCTTCTTTTCTGTTTAGCAGATCCTTTGGTATGAGGAATTATTTTTGAGATGTTTGGAATCTGAACCAAAAATCCCAGGAAAAGGTATGGTTTCTAGATTGATATATGTGGATTTAAAGGAAAAGTAACTTATTGGAGACCATGCACTTTCTTCAGCCTTCCTTTAGTTTCAGGAAGCTATATTAGAGAGATGTTGAACCAATGCTTGCTCAATGTTCTTTAGCCTTCCCAGAGAGACCACTCTGATTCAGAGGAGCAGACATTTGCCCTTCTTGGAATTAATTTTTAGACTTGCTGTTGCTAAAGAACAAAATTCAACTGAGGCGATTTTAAGGATCGTATTGGCTTATTCAGTGATTCACGGATTGAGCAATATCCAGTATAGCAGACAGAAAGGAGCTCCAAAGAATTGTTCAATTCAGGAGGGTTTTATAGACCAAAATGAGGAGGAGCAGGGAAGTTATACTGGGCATTTGCTGACTGGAGCAAAGGGAAGTTTGGAGCTGGGTTAGGTAATTTGTCTTGTGCAGGCAAGTGCTGACTGGTTGAGCTAGGCCTTCATTTCCTGGGAGAGCCTAACAGAGAAAATTAAGTTTTGGTTTGCTAACATGGGGCTTAACATGAGTGGACTCCAACTAAGGCCTAATTTGGTTACTTTAACACTGTTTATTCTCTTCTTTGACGTGACTTTATATCTACATGTGCTGCTGAGTTCTTCCCCTACAGTCGGAATGCAAATTAA